ATGGATTGATAATAAATGTTTAATGGCTGAAAGTGAAGGTTGATTGTCTATTGAATTATGCCATTTTATAAATGCATCTGAGTAAAAGAGACAGAAACAGCATTTTTTCTCTTTCTCTTTGACTTTCTCTTTATTTGCACCAGATGCTGATCTATATGGAACAGCCATTCTGGAAGATCAAGACCAGACATAGAGTGTCATGTTTTAGATATATAGACATGCAGTTCAAGTGAATCAATTTATGTATGGCTTCAGCTTGAATTTATGATCATGAGTCAGACTCGTCCTTCCTCACCTTTAATTATGTGCGCAGATCTGTTTGAATTGTGTAGACAAAGTTCACATTTATGCTTTCAACCTGTTGGAAGCGAAGTGTCTGTCAGCTTAGTTCAGTGAAAAGGAACGCTAGCATCATAGGCAGTGTTGGGGAGTAACTGTAATGGAAATACATAATTTAATTACAAAATAAATGTAACTGTTACAGTTACTGAGAAAAAATGTGTAATTAAATTACAGTTACTTACATTACAAAGGGGGTTACATCTGAATATTTTCTCATACAGATTTGATTGATTTCTTTCTCAAATTGCATTGACTGCTTTAAAATATGAGACAGCAATGTTTCAGGAGTTTAGGACACAGAATAGGACACATGCTTATTTGATAACCGTTTTATTTCCTATTTGGGTTTGTGTGAATGCTTTATTTTTTTAAGATTACCATTTTTTCCAAAGCATTGTTAGATGCCAGTGTTTCCTGTTTCCTATGCAAAGATTTTATTTCAAAAACAGTATCATAACTATTAAACTATATCTTATGATTTTAAATCTGTATTTAACCTCAGAATTATCTCAAAGTAAACAGAGGTGCTAAAGTCTGATTATGTGGTGGCTGTGCTTTAAAATTAAATTATTATAATCTTAATTCTAGTGAAGAAGGATTTTGAAAGTCTGACAGTAATCAGCGTTGAGTAGGCTACTACTGTAAGGTTAACCCTGCCTGCTTTAAATGTTTCACAATGATTAACACTTGAAAACATTCATTTGAAATTTTGAAAAATAATCAAAAAGTGATCAAATGTAATCAGTTGCATTACTTTAATAAAGTAATTGAAATAGTTGCACTACTTATTTTACATTTTTAAATTGGGTAACTTGTAATCTGTAACCTATTACATTTCACCAGTAACCATTTCACCATACATTTTCTCCATAACACAAGCAACATCATGCCACCTTCTAAGATACCTTCTTATCATATATTCTTATTATTTACATTTAGTCATTTAGCAGACGCTTTTATCCAAAGCGACTAACAAA